GCGTGAAATTTTCTCGGCATATGGAGGAACGGACAAAAACATTCTATTTCTCCGGCTGTAAACACTTTGTATTTTTACAAATATATTTGCAACATTTACGATACAAATTCAAACGAGAACAAACGTACATATATATATATATTTTTTTTAAATAAAGTTTAGGTATCTAATAAATGTATTTTAAATATAAATTTATTTATTTTAATAAAATTGTAATATATCATAAATTGATAAGTGTATATTTTAACAAGATATATTTTTTATTAAAATTTATAGTGACATGTCTGAAAAATTGAATGTCGAGTGTTAGCAGGATGAAACAGGAATGTCGCAGATATATTGCGATTGTGAGGGAAGGGAATGCTCTTATTATAATACTAATCAAGCAAGCACTTAACTCGACGATCTCCACGTGCAGCTCGTTCATTATCATCTCCCATAAGGATCCCATTAACTAAAAGCGTTAAGTTTCAACATACGCGTTACTCATTTTCGCGAACGTGAGGCCGCGACATCAGCGATTTCACGTGCAGACAAACGAGAAATAGTTAATCCGGAGTATGAATCTGGATGTTTTTATCGCTAAATTTTACGTACCGCTAGTGCTTCTGAGTAGCGCCGTAAATATCGCGTGTGACATCTTAATCGCATCGCATATGTTGTTCCGTTAATTCTAATCTTGGCGATATAATCCTACGAAATGAATCTTATACTGACTTGTAATTTGCAGTTAAAATACGTTTTCGTGTATGAAATTTATATATTACGACGTGTCCATGCCTCTTCCATATAATTATGTAATATTTATTTTATTTTATTTGTAAAATAATTTCTTATAAATTCCTTTCTAATTGAGCTTAAAATTTTAAATGTCAGATTAAAATTGTTTCAATATTCTTTTTAATATAAAAGAGAATATTTCTCTTTTTTTCATTAGGGATTTTATTTTTCAACTTTCGGAAAACTTCTTTTAGTTTTGAATAATATTCTAATAGTAATCGGTTGTTTAAAAACACAAATATTATACATACAAATTCGACACGTTAGTGCAAATTGAAACCGATACTTCAATAAAACGTATCTTGCAAGGCTTATCTTCATGTCGCCTTCAAAATAAACGCTCGCGATTAATCTATCGTTATCACTGGAGATTAAATTATCCAAAACTAATTAGTGTCAGTATAATTCGTACTCGATATAAGTAATCTGTCTTCGCGAAGGTATGTTCCACTCTGACCATAGTTTTCTGTCCGCGTGTAATCCGCTTGTACTTATATTTAACTCATTTCCTTTTAAGCATTGCGCAAACAAAAATATCTAAATGTAAAACATCCGACACCGCGGCTAAGACTCACGCTCGGACAACAATTTTTAATTGACTATTCATTGAAACCTTTGAAAATAATCTGCCGTTAGGTATAGGGATTCGGTTATTGTAACTCAAATCCCTGGAATAAGCTGCTCAGACCTCTGCACTACGAGATGAGATGAGAGTGTTCGAGATGTATATACATTTGTGCAGCTACAGAAATTGTGAATTTTACGATCCATGCGCAGGGATTTAAGATGCACCCTTGGGACCGGCCGACAAACGCGAAGAGCGTCCCAAACAATCTAATACCTGGTTTCGTCGGGCGTCTCGCGTATGCAAAAACTCTCGAGGTCGCTGGAACGGGTGTCGGTATCGTTAGAACATTAGAGCCTCGGGTCTTTGGACCGATTCGGATGTGGCGAGAGGGTAAAAAGGGATGAACCCGTGAATATCTCAGCGGCGAAGGGCGAGGGACGGGAAGAGAAAGAGAGAGAGACAGCAGGGGGTGCAAGGAGTCTGCGAGAGCCGAGACGGGAACCGGCGAAGGAGAGCAGAGAGCAACGGTGAGCGTCGATACGAGAGAGTGTCTATTTACGAGTTGTCCGGCGCCGTGATGTCCGGAGTAAAAATACACCGCGTAGAATCCGTATGCCGTGTGTGCGCGCGCACCACACCAGACCCTCTTATAATTCTCCAACGCGCTAGCGCGCGTTCTCTCTCACAGCTCTCTCGGTCTCTCAATGCCTCTCCGTCCCTCTCACCCTCCCGACACCGCTTTCATCCCCTCTATGGGTGCTCCTCGCGGCCCGTAACAGCGGCGGGGCGGCGCGGCGCAATTCTGCTTCTCGTATTGGACAGCGGCCAACCGTCTCTAACCGAGAGCGACGGAAAGCGATAGAGAATCACGCTCATAGAGCGCACGGTTTAGAGTGCGAAGCGCAATTGCGCTGCTGTGTTATACAGGGTGTTTCGTTTTTCGCTATTATGTTTTCGATTCTCTGGAATAAGTCTCCGCGACAAACGTGAACGTGCGTCGTGCGATCGTAGTCGAATCAAAGTTGTAATGCCAAATTCAGTATTATCATTCGGAACGTTATATTTTATTTATTGAGTAGCACGCGGGAAGAGGAGGGGAGGAAAGGAATGCATTTTTTAAATTAAATAAAATAGATTTTTATTTAAAAAATTAGGATAAAAATGTGGGTAATGAAAGACTCTTGATTTTTTTTGATAAGAGTCTTGACATTTTTACTTAAAAAAAACTGACTCCAACTTCGGTCTTGTTTACCCTAAAAGTAACGCTGAGCTGTACCGTCCGAATAGCTTCGTTCTGATTAACAAATCGACTTGAACGAACGCGGGCCGGCGTGATGTTTACAAACGCGTGCCCGCTGCAAGGCAGGTACGCGTCACGCCAGGTACGTCTGTGGCCCGGCGTGTAGGTGCAGAAATATAATCGCGCAATGACGTCACACGCGCGTGCTGTGCAAAACAGACTTCCTCCCGTTCCTTTGCCGTCGTCCGAACTACGGCGCGGACAAATCCGCCGTTGTGGCGACAAAATGTACTTTATAAGTCATATCGTTCACGTTCGTTTAATTTCCAAAGTCCAATCGAAAAGAAAAATTGACCGTTTTATTTGAGCGATAAAATATAACAAAAAAATTATGAAATCAGAAATACAAGACTTATTTGATTAGGACTCGAATGATAAGTTATCAAATAATAGTGTGGAAGCAAAGTTATTCGGTTGCTCGAATATGAGACAGTTATAGGATATCTGCTGATTAAAAGATATATGTATATTGCGCGAGTAATTATTAATGAACTGCTGCAGTTTTAAATAACAATAAAGTTTAAATAGCAATACAGTATTTATTTCTAATATATACTTTCTGTTTCTATGCTAAACTTTAAATAAAATTAATCTCGCGTATTATTTGCCGTCGATAAATATTTGATTGAGAATAATTTTTTTTAATTTAAAGTTTAGCACCGAAGTAGAATACGTTCAACATTTGCAAGTAATACCATCCGCGATTAAGAATAATAATTTTTTTTTAATTTAAAGTTTAGCACAGAAAGAGAATACGTATATTAAATAAATACTATTGTTTTATTGTTTAAACTTTATTGTTATTTGAAAACGCAGCATTAATTGCATGTATTAATAATCACTCACGCAATATATATCTTATAATCAGCAGGTATCCTATAACAGTCTCAGATTCGAGCAACCGAATGACTTTGCTTCCACAATATTATTTGATAACTTATCATTCGAGTCCTAATCAAATAAGTCTTGTATTTCTAATTTCATTATTTTTTGTCGTATTTTATCGTTCAAATAGGATAGTTTTTTTATTCGACGATTTATTTTGGACGAATGGAGATTAGAAGGAAACGTTAACGATATGATTTTATAAAAGTACGAAATACTTCTCGTCACCACAACGGCAGATCTGCCCGCGCCGTAGTTTGGACGACGTGCAAAGGAACGGGAGGAAGTTCTGGTCAACCCTCTGGCGAGAGGGTCACGTAAAAAGATTAATCTCCTCATTTTTAATTAATCCGAATGCGTATACGACATTCGTGGGATTTATTCGCGCCAACATTTTCTATATAATAAAAGATCGGCTTTATTTTGGGCGTTAAAGCCCATGCTCTAACCCACGTCGCCTCGCTACTTCGTCTCGGTCTTTTGAATGGGAGTATTTTTAGCACGCGCCTACTATATGTGGATAACTGTACGCGCCGCGCTGCGTATTCAGTTTCCGCGGATCGAGCGGCTTGAGCAAGCATTAGAGTGTTCGATGTGACATCGAACGGAAGCTAAATTTCGCACAATCGCCATCCTGAGGCAGGACTCGCCGAATAGATATATTTTCACTTGGCTCGATCGTTTATCTCGCGTTAGCGTTAGTATTTTATATTGTTAGTTCTAAATCGAAAAAGTCTGTGCAAGAAAAATTTTGAACAGCCTCTTCGGATAAATTATCGTATCTTATTTTTTTTATTGCAGAAAATTGTGTCATAAATTATACACCACGTTGAAATACGTTCGATATTTTCTCAGATGACGAAGCTTAACTTATACAATCTAATTTACATAATCTTGTTCAAATAGGTATTTTAATTGATCTAGATCCTTTTATAACGAAACTCATATTTGTATATAATATTCACAAATTTGTTTGATCCAACATTAATCTATTCGTTTGTTTACTCGCGTTATCCAAGATTGAATCATATCGAAGAAGAACTAAGACCGAGCGCTGCTGAATCGAATTTGATAAAAACGTCCATTTGAAATCTTAGGAAATCCCGGTTGAAATATAGATCCTTGTTGCTCCATGATTCGGTTACAAAGAATCGAGAATCTTGATCTCTCCATAAAACTCCTGTCAGACGCCTGTTTTTTTTTTAACCCTTGTGTGCGCACCCAACTTTACCAACGTTTTTACGCACCCAGGGTACCCGGGTACTCATCATAGAAAAATTCATTTTTGAATGGACTATTAGTTTTTTATTAATTTATTTGATTCATGTACGTGAAATGGGTTACGTAATAATATAGAATACATGAAAATTAATATTAAAAAAAAACCGTGGTGGACACCCGGGTACGTGGGTGCGCACACAAGGATTAATGCATTATCCTACTGATATCTTGCACTTCTTTTTACAGCCACCTGACACGCACCACGACATGGGAAGATCCGCGGAAAACGGCCGCAGCCGCGAGCGTAGCCGCGGTAGCCGCGGCAGTCGAAAGCAACAAATCCAACTCGCTTGGTCCGCTACCCGACGGATGGGAACAGGCGCGCACAGCCGAGGGTGAGACCTATTTCATCAATCATCAGACTCGCACCACCTCCTGGTTCGATCCGCGAATCCGTAAGTGTTAAATTGAATTTCTCCGTTTTCTAAGTCCTGCTGGCTAAACAATTTATAGATATTAAAATGGAGATCCCGTTTTAAATATTATAATATTATAATTAAATTTATTCAAGAATTAAAAAAGCTCTCAATGTTTAATTATCGAACCAGATCGGTTTTTTTTTAATTTTTTCGCATATCTTTAAAGTATTATATTATTGAAGTTGCCACTCTCCTGGCTTTCTCATTCAAATACTAGAAATCCCAATTTTCCTCATCTCTCTGATTTATAATAATAATAACAGAAAGACCGGATTTGAATGTAATTAAATTCTGGAGCGTGTAAAATTCCGGAGTCTCTAGAAATGTGGTGGCTTTATAGATATTATTATAAAACTTGATAAATCTTTCAACCTACGCAAGTTAGCGTAGGCTGAAAGATTTGATTTTCTCTTGGCGGGGAAACTTTTCCCAACTCGCCACAACGCAAATTACTTTTACTAACAACTTCTCGATTATTGACTGTTTCTATTGTTCTGTTGTTACTAATTCTCATTTCTTTTTTATACTAATCATTTCATTGTTACTAATTTTCATTTCTTATATATAGCAGAGGAAGAAATGATAATTTTTTCAGCATCGCATCTCCAAAGAACTCCGGCGTCCGGTGCAATGCTGCCGCAGAACTGGCAACTTCAGCAACCCACCGGCATCCAAAGCAACCAGAGTCTGCAGGCCTGCCAGAAGCAGAAGATTCGACTTCAATCATTGCAGATGGAACGTGAACGTTTGAAGCAGCGGCAGCAGGAGATCATGCGTCAGGTTAGGGATTTCGAATTGTTTGCTTTTCAATCTGGGAACTCGATTGCGTAACATTTGTTAACCATTTTCGATATTCAGGTTTTTCCGTCATTGCAGCAAGAGATGATGCTGCGACAGAGCAATACGGACGCCGTCATGGATCCGTTTCTGTCCGGCATCAATGAGCAACACGCACGCCAGGAGAGCGCCGACAGCGGTCTGGGACTCGGTTCTGCATACCCCCTGCCTCAGGCGGGAACTGAAGATTTCCTCAACATAGATGAAAATATGGACGGCACGAGCGGTAAGAGCGGCCCGTTCAAAACTGTCGATTCTTTCGGAGTATAAAAAGCCTATTTGCGCAACATCTTAAAAAATCCATCACCATCATCACGCTTATGAGACTTTAGGCTAAAAAGAATGTTTATTCGCTTGCTTTGCTGTGCCATTAAGTCAATTCAATTTTCAAATTTATAAATAATTGTTTTGCGCGATTGTTCCGATTGCAGAAAGGCACTGTGCGTTGAATGATCTTACGAAACGATTATACCGAAGCCATAAATACATAAGTACGTATTTGCCGCAATATCACATTTTGTTTAGTTATACTTTGAATTCGATGAATTCTTTTACAGACGGAGGTGCGCCGATGGACACGCCGGATATCTCGACTTTGAGCGACAATATCGATACGACTGACGATCTCCTGCCATCGCTTCATGTAAGTCCCTTGTTATGCCGATGATCGTTGCAAGTAATTAAAATCCATTGAATGCCGTCGTTTGCATCCACAATTATTATTATTGTTTTAGTTGAACGAGGATTTCACTACCGATATTTTGGACGACGTGCAATCACTTATAAATCCTAATCCTACTAAGCCGGAAAATGTGTTGACTTGGCTATAGGATTAGAAGTGATACTGCGGCGGACATCGGCCTATTTAAAAGGATAGGTGCTCAGACTCTCGAAGTAGAAACTGTATTCATGTCTAGACATTAACATATCTAGATATTAACCTGCGATCTATTAGTTGCATCATTGAGCAGCCTTATTTTCAATACCTTTAATCAATGATGCAATTTTTATTTCTTTATAATTCTGTAGATTAGACTTAGTCTACTAGACTAGAAAAGAATTAAGTCTCTACTTTGAATCTAAACACCTATTTTTTTTGTTTCTTTCTATTTGGATTTTTGTGAGGATACACTACCACGATAATAGCCAGGATATATTTTCATTTCAAGTTTCTCATAAGGGATCGAGAATTAAACCTGGATTTTTATTACGCGTAGTTATTTCATTATTAAGCTATTCCCAAAACACAAGAAATTTCAGTAGTTTATATGCACATGCAATTATAAACACATCGTACTAAAGATAAGTCTACATTTTGGGAGATGTTGGACAGCTTAATGGAAAAATTCGCCTATCAAATGAAAGATTGTCCTGATGTCCCGTATATATTATAAGAAATTTTAAATGGAAAGATATTTTCTTGTGTGTGATAGAGACAATCAAATCAAAGACAAATTCAATGTAACTTTGTAATATATCGTGGTACCGCGGCTTTTCTTGTGAGAATGAAAATCCAAGTAGGAGGAATGTTTATACTTCGTTATGCCGTCTGAAGAAAGAAAAGAGAGAAGGAGAAAACGAAGGACTGTATACGAACTTGCTTTATCAGCTATCGAGCACGTTAAACGTTACTGTCAGCATTCAGTCCTTCGATTCCTCCGTCATTTCTTTCTTTGTTAAACAATATTATATTTTATATAACGAAAATTTATATATTCCGTATTCATATTCGTTAAACAATCTTGTGAGAGCGTGATTTTTTTTGTATATGATGATATCAAGAGATCGTACGATATTCATGCTCCCAGCTTGTGTCTTCCTACGGTTTGTGCACGCAGAGCGATTTAATTGTAAAGTCTAATGCAGAGAAACTATGTGAATGGATTGTAACAAATTTCAAAGCGCTTGATACGAAGATATTTCATTATATCGATATCTTCTAACGTGAGTCGATTTGCTCGCACACTTTTGCGCGAGGGATTTGGTGCTATTTTTATCTTGGATGCATGTAATTGGACATTGTTATTATTACAAATGTTATCAGTTATAGCAAATTATTTTTGCTATAATTGTCACTTTAATTTTCTTGATACTAATACCTACAAATTTATTACAGATAATCTGGCAATTTTAAAATTA